GGACAGTAGTTTTCCTTCAATAAATGAAATCATCATTTAAAAACTGCATTCTGTGTTTCCTTGCATGATCTTTGTCTTACATTAAAGTTAGTTTGATGATCTGGAACATTTAAGTGGGACAAATCTATCGGGGGGGAAAATACTTTATCACAGCACTGTACATTCACCACGGCAAAACATCTTTCTGGAGTCGATGTGCTGAATAGAGTGAAAAACTTTGAGTTTGTAGAAGTTGTCAAAAAAAGGTAAGTAGTAACACAACTGCAGTATGTAGAGCAGCCAGTTTTCAGGTATTGGTAACACCTGTGGGAAAAATGTCGTACTTATTCCATTTTTAATTTTAGAATTTTTCAATTCACAATACAGCTTTGTTTTCCTGCACAGAAGATAGATTTCCTGTTTGCATGGCTGTGCAGTTTCTGTAGACTTGTAGGACTTTATGTTGCAGTGAAAAATGAGCCAACACTGTAGAAACATGTGACCAGGGCAAATAACATGCCCAGAAACTGCTTGGAGTTTAGAGGGCTACTAATGTTTTAGGCCAAGTCCAGTACTTTCAGTTTGTAGATATTCATTTAGTCTTTAAGATTTTTGGGGGTGTCAGTTTATCTGTTTGACAGTGACAGTGGAGAGAGACAAGACACTTGTGTGATGGTCCCGAACCACTCAGCTATCAGCTCAACTAAAGCACCATGTTGGTATTGTAAAGCTTAATATTATCATTACTTTTATTTTTTAGTGCTATTGCTTTAAAGTGTTTTAATGATGGAATACATTGTTTAGTACGAAGTCAAAAGTTTTCTTTGTCTCATGCCCAGTCAATATGTTTAGTAAAATGCCGGTTAATGCACTTCAAGGCTGTGCTAAATGACTAGTCTGCGTAAATCACATTATTAGAAGAAGTATAAACACACCAGTGTGTGTCTGGGCAGTGAGTCTGTCAGAATATAATAATGTAAATTGTAATGCAAACTGCACAATAACATTTAGTACATGCTGGAGTCACAAGTATGTGAAGAGATTCATGGGACAATATTCATGATATGGCCTTTGACATACAGATGTCACCGTCTTGATGAGAGAATGTCTCTCAGAAGCACAAAATAGTAAAAACACTCATGTCACATACCACGAGTGGCGTCTTCAGTTTCCTAATTACTGTGACCAACCTCATCAAACATGTTATTAAAATATACAAGTGAAACTAACACATTCTTTAATAACACCAAGCAAGTAATCCACTAAATGACTTCACTGATATCTGAATAACTGAAAAGTCACAAGTCAGTTAATCAGCTAATTGTCTGGCCTTGATGATTTACATCTGAAAGCTGGGCTGAATAATGCTTTAGCAGCTGAAGGCTAAGATGCTCTTGCTGGAAGTTGTTCTCACCGTGTAGGAGGTGGAGGCCTGGTCCTCCTCTCCGCTCTCCTGCTCCTGCTGCGTCTCCATGTGGCAGGAGAGCAGGTGCTCCTGCAACTCCAGCTGAGAGGTGCAGACCAGGGAGCAGAGGGGGCAGTTGAATGCCTCACTGCCCTGACTGATGTGCTGACTGCAGATGTGCTCCTGCATTTCCTCATCCCCACCCAGCACAGCCTTGCAGTACAGGCAACGCACCGCCGACGCCTCGGAGCCTGAAGGGCGGACACACAAGATGAGTAAAGATGTGCTGTCTTTAGGAAGTGCTGATTTTTGTTCATTAGTTCATTTTGTTCTATGTTACAACAGAGTAGACAAATACTGTCAAAAACAAATTTGAACAAATCACAAAGAGACAGATTAAATTCAAATTCATGACTTGAAAATGACTGAATGAATGTTCTGTGATCCATCACAGGGAACATGTTGTCAGTCCTAGTGGGTCATTACAAACTTGCGCTGTGCATCTTAACCATGCTCATTTTTTACCAGCAAATAAAAGAGGAAAAGTGTGTGTCATAGAGTCAAGGCTTAGCAGTCATAATGCATAAAAGATCAGTGTATGACAACCATGTAACAAAGTAACTTCACATCAAATGTCAGAACAGACACAGACAATGATAGATTCAGTCTCATTTTAAGTCTCCCCAAGTTGCAGAGATTAGTCAAAATCAGTTTTGGAAATTGGCATAAGAAACTCATCCCTTAAAGCTAAATGCATACCTTATGTGTATAACAGCCTGTGTTCAGGATCACAGGTTTACTGAGGAGCAGCAATGACAGATATTTTCATGACGATGCTGCAAATACAGATTTCCCTGAACACGGCTGAGTGACTACAATCAGTAAATACTGAGTTTTTGTGGCATTCATGAATCACATCATTTAAAAGCACCACAGAAGCATGAAACTGACAAAGCTAGCTAAGACAATATGAGATGTGAATGGCACAATCATCAAAATACATCCAAGTATCATCCCAAACTAATTCCTATCTTTTAGTCTTTTATTTCAATATTTTGGTGCATAACAAATAAATACTAAGTGCATCGCTAATTAGTAGGCACTCAGGTCCAGACAGTTAGTGTGTATGTTTTAGTTTTTTTTTAAGTTAAAGTTTTGGCTTTTTTGCCTTTATTAGATAGGACAGTTGAAAGAGAGACAGGAAAGTGGGGGAGGAGAATGGGGGACGGGGTTGCAGCAAAAGGCCATGAGCGAGATTCGAACCCATGGCTGCTGCATTGGAGACTATAGCCCCTGTACATGGGTCACCAGCTCAACCAGGTGAGCTATAGCAGCGGCCTTGTTAGTGTGTATGCTTGGCAGAGTTCAGTTCTTTTATGGTTCTGGGGTAGAAACTGTTTTTGAATCTGTTTGTCTGTAATTTGATGGACCTGAAGCATCTACCTGAGAGTAGTGGATCAAACAGATGGTGTCCAAGATGGGATTCGTCCTTAAGAATTTTTGCTGCTCTATTGAGGCCGGGAGAGCTGAATAAGTCTTCTAAAGAAGGAAGTAAACAGCTGATGATCTTCTGAATGTTGTTGATGATCTTCTGAACACCACAGCATCAGTCTTTGGACTTTATCTCTGTGGGTGGATTCACCTCCTCCTGAAATAAGTCCAACAACAGCTGAATTGTCGGCAAACTTAATAATGGTGTTACAGTTATGGATGGGGGCACGGTCACACTGAGTAGAGGATGGGGCTCAGCACACAGCCCTGTAGGGAACCAGTGCTGAGTGTGATGGTGGAGGAGAGGTGGTTTCCTATTCTGACCATCTGGGGGTGGTTGGTTAGAAAGTCCTTGATTCAGTGGCAGGTGGGCTGTGGAAGTCCTCGGTCAGTTTGGTGACCAGCCTGCTGGGAGGACAGTGTTGAAGGCAGAGCTGAAGTCTATAAAAAGCATCCTCAAAGAGCTCCTCTGGTGTTCAAGGTGGGTCAGTGCAGTGTGAAGAGCAGGGGCCATGGCATCCTCTGTAGACCTGTTGGCTCTGTAGGCAAACTGGTGAAGGTCAAAGGAGGATGGGATGCTGGTTTTGATGTGCTGTAGGACCAGCTTCTCAAAGCGTTTCATAATGTCGGTTATGAGGCCTACCAGACAGATGATGGCCTTTTTTTGGCAGTTGGATCATAGTTGAAGACTTCAGGCAGGCTGGGATGATGGATGTGGACAGGGTTAGGTGAAGAGTTTAGTGAAAACCATAGAAAGCTGATCTGCACATTCTTTCAGTCCCTTCCTGTCACACCATCATGGCCATCAGCTTTCCTCGGATTCACTGCTCTGAGCTCAGCCTCCTCATGCTCCTGCACAGTGAGGCGGTGGCTGTCTGAGGCTGGTGAAGGTGTTTTGTCTGTGCCTGCTGTTTTCACCTCAAAGCAGGCAAAGAAGCAGTTTAGTTCCTTTGCCAGTGAGGTGTGTGAGGTTGCTGATGCCTCTCTTGTTACCAGACCTGAAGGCGGTGTTACGGTCCTTGAGAGGAGATTTGACTTCCTTTGTCATCCAGAGCTTCTGACTGGGGTACACCTGCTGTGTTTGCTGACAGTGACATTGTCATCACAGTTCTGTATGTAGTAGAGCAAAGTTGTATTCCTCCAAGTCCTGATTCTCAAAGATGTTCCAGCTAGTCCTTTCAAAGCAGTCCTGCAGCTGCGAGGAAGCTCCTTCAGGCCATGTTTTTATGGTTCTTATGGTAGATTGAGCTTTTCTTCTGGGGAAGTATATGTATAAGATTTAATTGCAGATGTTTAGCCTTAATTTAAGAGGTTTCACAAAAATTTTGCTTTAACCATTAACCATAGTTATTTTTACAGTCTTTTCTGCTCTAACACAAATACAAGTATAAGGATTACTTTTAATACTTGCACTACTTGATGTCTGGAGCCTTTGAACATTATCAAATGCGTTTCCTCCCTTGACAAGCCTTTACTGCAGCTACCTTCAGTGGCCACTTGTTAGTGCATTTAGTTTTGTCTTCAGTAAACAAAAAGTAGCATGGTCAGACTTAAGTCAGGTGATGGACTTAGCGTTTAAGATCATTCCATTTTTTTGCCTTCAGATACTCCTGGGTTGCTTTTTTGGGGTATATCTTGGGTCATTCTATGTCTGTACAGTGAAGTGCTGTCCTATCAGTGCTGCAACATCTGATTGAATGTGAGTTGAACATAATACTTCAGAATTCATGCTGCTACTTCTGTCAGTAGTAAAGTTATTATTAACACAAGTGGGCCTTTGGATCATGACCCTTCCTTTCCTTCTCCACAATCTTCTCTTCCATTGCACATGTATAGCGCTACATTAGTGGTACTCCAAGTGTGTTACAGTGTTTTACATTCACCTGTTTCTCACACTAACTCTCACACACACCAGTGGTGGTAGACCGACCATGTGAGGTGCTCGTCTGCCACTGGAAGCAATTCTGTGTTTGAAGTCTTGCCTAAGGACACTTTTGCATGTGAGTGGCCAGAGATTACTCTGCCGTGCTTGTGATTAGTGGCATACAATTGAGTGACTCTGTAAAAACGTCTGTAACTTCTAAATATTGAAAGCAATATTGTTGTCAAACTAAACCTGAAACTCTGCATTTCAATCACATAATTTCAACCACTGTCTATTATTCTTTCCAATGCTATTTTTACTCTTAAACATTGATGTTTTTATGAAATGAAATGAAAAATACTTTATTCATCCCAGAAGGGAAAATGAAATAAAATTTATATGCCATATTGTATTATTATTATTAGTTGTAGTAGCAGTATTCTGACTGCTTCATTTCAAATCCATTGTCGTGGTGTTTAAAGGTAAAATTCTGAAAATAGCATCACAGTACGTTCCCAGAAATAGTTTCTTCAGGTGGCTCCACCCTGCAGCCAAAAATGCACAAGTAGTGCCCCAGGACACACCAAAGATCTCATAAACTTTTCTGAAGAACATCGGCATTTAGCTGCTGGGGTCACTGTTGCAAAAAAAAGGAAAGAGAATCATCCATTTCCAGAAAACTCGCACAAAAACACTCATCCCTCCGAGCTCAACCACTGAGCAGCAAAGAGATTCAGCTTTGTGCGGTAACTGTGAGAACGTAGCTGTGATTAGTGAATGCTGTGCTGACTGACTTGGGTTTGGAAGGTGTCATCGTATGAAAAAATACAGCAGGCTGTGTACAACACAAGACAATAGAAACATGAAACAGATCCGTCTGCGCTGACAGCTATTCATCATTTTTGAAAATTTTATAGTGAATATCTAGAAATTTGACTAAATGATCACAACTAATTTTAATGTAGGACTTAATATACCATGGAACAGCAGAGAGGTATGTAGTAGTTTTTGCGGCCATATGACTTGAAAACGGACCACAAAGGCTGCAGGGATACTGACAATGTTTATAAGGTGTCTGCAGGTTTGAAATTTTAAGAATATTATGAGAAAAAAAATCCTGACATTTAAGTCATGTTCTCTGCAGTAACTCGGCCAAATCATGTGACATTTTAGGGATGTGCAATCTCTGAACTACAACCAACATTGCCAGTCTGGTGGCTCATTAAGTCTGCTGTGCTTGATCACAGTCAAAGCCAACTTTCCTCTAATTTTATCTTATACATTACTCTTAATATTCTGTCACTATTATTACACGCATTCTAGCTGTTGTAGCTTGTTCACATTGCCACATGGTGTTTGTTATATGCTAGGAGACACATCATGAGTGAAATAATCAGTCAGCAGCAGGCCAGGATTTCCACTTTCAAACTGGAGTGTACTGATGACAGTCTCTTATTTTCATGGACCAAACTTCAAAATGTGCAACTGTGATACAAAGAGATGACCTGCTATTGGTTTAATCAGTGAGGGACTTGTAACAAAGTACATCCCTGTTGGGATCAATAAAGGTTTTCTGATTCTGATTCTATACATTGTTGATAGATGATTGTCACTTCTCTTTGAAAACTGTGGAAACTATTAGAGGATAATGAAACTTAAGTTTGAAAGAAGAGGCAACATTTGCCTATCTTAAAGGTGCATTGTGTAACATTTCTGCATTAAAATGTTTTAAAATGACTGGACTGGTGTTATATATTGTATTGATTTGTGCGCGGGGCTGCACGGTGGCGCAGTTGGTAGCACTGCTGCCTCACCGGTTCGCGTCCCGGTGGGGGCACCGGGATCTTTCTGCGTGGAGTTTGCATGTTCTCCCCGTGCGGCGTGGGTTCTCTCCAGGTTCTCTGGCTTCCTCCCACACAGTCCAGAAACATCGAGGTTAATTGGTGATTCTAAATTGTCCATAGGTGTGAATGTGCTTGGTTGTCTGTCTCTAAGTGTAGCCCTGTGATAGACTGGTGACCTGTCCAGGGTGTCCCCTGCCTTTGCCCTAAATCGGCTGGGACAGGCTNCGAGCTCAACCACTGAGCAGCAAAGAGATTCAGCTTTGTGCGGGAACTGTGAGAACGTAGCTGTGATTAGTGAATGCTCTGCACCGGAATCTTTCTGCATGGAGTTTGCATGTTCTCCCCGTGCAGCGTGGGTTCTCTCCAGGTTCTCCAGCTTCCTCCCACAGTCCAAAAACATGTCGAGGTTAATTGGTGATTCTAAATTGTCCATAGGTGTGAGTGTGCTTGGTTGTCTGTCTCTAAGTGTAGCCCTGTGATAAACTGGCGACCTGTCCAGGGTGTCCCCTGCCTTCGCCCTAAATCGGCTGGGACAGGCTCCAGCTCCCCCGCGACCCTAGTGAGGATTAAGATGTATAGATAATGGATGGATGGATAGATGATTTGTGCACCTACAGTATCCCAAGTGTTTCAGACAATGTTCAGACCAGAGAAATCCATAGTTCTATCCAGTGTAATGGTGTGTTTTAGTTTGGTCTCCTGTTAATGGCTTCATGTCCCCTTTACCCTCTGTAGCCAGGGAAACACCAGATGATACATTTAAAGAAAAAAGGAAGAAGAAGGAGTCCGCAAACTAGGTCACTAACCACTGTCTTGTTTTTTTTTAATTGATTGTCTGTATGCCTCACTCATGATGAATCACCATTATTTTGGTATGAGTGTTTTGCTCACAAATAACAGCACTAGGCTGCTCCACTATTAGCCTTTCTAAGTCAGACCATTCTGTAGCACTGACACAGCCCTGTGCAGAATGGCCTGGCTGTACCTCATCATCATTCTACTGTAGGAGGAAATAAAATTGAAAACAGTGACATATGTATAGCAGAACAGGAGGAAAGCTGTGGCAAATGGCAGGCTTACACCCACAATCAACATCCAATGAGTCAAGTATCCCACAATTGAATTTGCCACATAACGTTTGCCACAGTAGCTGTATGTTGACTCATCTAATGGTAAATTAGCAAGTAACATTAGCTAACGTTATTTTATTATGAGCTATTTTATTAGAATGAAATGACACACGTGGACATACATGACTACTGTGAATAAATAATAATAAATATATTACCTTGTATGTCAACATGATTTTTGCCAAAGTCACATTAGATAGATTTTAATCAGCAGGGATGTAGAGGACGACAACTCCCATCATCCCACGCTACTCTTCGGCATCACTGAACTACTTTGGTTATTGTTTTGATTAAGAGACTCATAGTGGCTGAAATAACACAGTGTACCTATCTTTACCTGCAAATGTCTGAAGCCGTTTAAAAACTATTTCATATGGGCGTCCCCATGGCTCACCGAGTTGAGCAGGTGACCCATGAACAAGGGCTATAGCTCCCCGACACAGCAGTCGTGGGTTCCACTCCAGCTCACGACCCTTTGCTGCAGGTCTTTCCCCATTCTTCTCCCCCCTTTCCTGTCTCTCTCTACTGCTCTAAAAATAAAGGCAAAAAGCCCAATACACCACAAAACTATTTCATATGATCTCTTTTGATACACTTTAAGATGTGTGTTTGAATACAGTTGGATTGATTATCTGTTCTTCATTTGTGCTCACATTATTTTAGCACCAGGAGCTGTCCAACAGTTCCAGTGAAAGATCAGGCACCAGACCAGTCTGATGCTCTGGTCTGGTTACTAATTCATGTTGTTGGTAACAATATTGTTCGATCAGCAGACTCAGAATTACCCAGGCCTGTGCCATCCTCACCTTGATGCTCAGCAGCTTGGTGTTTGGCCAGACTGGAGGCACTGGGGAAGAACTTAAAGCAGACATCACACTGGACCAGGGTCTTGAGCTGCCGGGTGTGACTGGCAAACACGTCAGGATGGTTGGTCCTGTTATGGTACCATAGGCCTGACAGTTGCTATGGGAACAGAGAGATTTTTATTTACACGAGATACACATTGTACAGCTAGATGTAAATAAGCAAAAACTGGAATACAGCTAAATGATATATCTATTGTCACCCAGTACGGGTGTAAGCGAGTTACACAATATGCTCGAGAGGCCACAAGCTGAAAACAAGAAACAGAACATAAACCAGAAAACATAACATATTTGAGTGTTTTCTGTATTCTTAGTATGTTTTGAGAAATTATCTTTTTAGAGTTTGTTGTGTTTTCTAAAATGTAGTCTTTTTGGTTTTGCAGTAGTACTTTGTTTAATATTGTTTTGTTGTGCACCTTAGGGCCACCATAGTTCATGGAGCCGCAGTTCTGTTTCAGTATAGAGTGACCTGCTGGTACAGAGTGTGTGCAAAATAAAAATGGACTATAAAATCAAAGTGCTCATCCCCTTAGAGCAGACATGCTGAACAAGCTTGTCCTACCTGGTATGACTTGTTGCAGAGGTCACAGCTGAACGGCTTTGTTCCGGTGTGTGTGGCCTTGTGTTTGTCCAGCAGAGCGGCGCTGGTGAACACTTTGTTGCAGGTGGGACACTTGTGGAACTCCTTTGGGTGGAACTCCTGTATGTGCTGCCGGTGCTCCTCCAGTGAGGAGAAACTCAAACAACACTTCTGACAGTCGTGGGGCTCTGACAAATCTGACAGAGAGAGAGAGAGAGATGGTGATACAGGAAGTGAAATCTTGGATTTATAACAAATTGAACCTAATTTGGAGGCAAGAACGTCATACATGTGTTTGTGTTAGTTGCAGATCAGAGGCCTGCACTATCAAGCAGAATGTTGGGTTATGAAGACACCGTTGGGTTTAACTCTGGGTTTTCAGGACTACAGCGGTGGTGCACTTCTTACCACGTACATCACCATGGTTATGTATGCTGAACTCCTAACCTGCTTCAGAGTAGGTTATGTTCCAGATAACAGATCAACAAGTGTTAAAATACTGCCTACTGACCAATCAGTTCTCTTGGAAAACAGCATCAATAATTTCTGTCATACTTTGAGTTTTATCTTTCTTGAACTGCATGGGATTTCAGAGCCATTTTTTCCTCTATGTGCCTCTGTAGAGCGATATAATCCTCAAACAGAATTAAAACACTAAAGCCTTGCACTTGTTGACCTGGTAAGATTTGTAGTATCGCAATTGCCGCTACTTTTTCACACGCTTTGAACACAGCGGCTTAAACGATGATGCGGCTGATTTATGGATTTTTATGAATTTGCCTCGAGACGAAAGTGACATTGAGAGCGACAACGACAGAGAGACTGAGGAAGTGTGTGACGAAGTAATTCTGATGCTGTTCAACACTGAAGAAGCTGACTTTAGTGGTTTTAGTGCGCAGGAGGAAGATGAAGATAGCGATCAATGACTTTTCCTGGTAGGCTACTGTATTTTTTTTTTTTAACCAGCCGTGTTACAGGCACTGTTCAGAAAAAAGCATTATTATTAGTGTATATTACCGGTACGTATTTGATTGAAAGTTAAAAAAATCTTTCTGTGTAAATATCTCATGTTAAAACATGGACACCTGCAGCTTATAGACAAGTGTCAAGTAGCATCATTCTAGGAGGATGGCTACTGCAGCTCTGATTCGTGGCTCTGTCACACATGTTGTACCTATACTTATTGATTGTTCTTAAGAGAAAACACACACAGAGAAAAGGTGTTTCAACTTGAAAACAATGCAATTATTGAGATTTGACTAATTTTTTAAACAACATTTACATGTAAGTGACATTGCACTTATTTCTGTTCTATATTTTATGTATTGCTACATGTTCTTCCTAAATGATTCAACCTTAGTTTGAACAGTCGTTGAAACATGTTATTTTTCTGTAGTTTTGTGGAGGATCACTGTGTCTTTGCAAATGTCAGCCACCCAGTGATGTTTTTTTCTCGGCCATTTTCAGTGTTGTGCACATTGCAGACTGATGAACAGAGATGTTAAAGGGTTCTGATGACTCCTTTACATCTTTATCTCTTACTCTGAATGTCTTTCTGACCTTAGTGTCCTGCATCGTGCTTTTCTTAGCTAAGTGCCAATTTCTAAGAAGAGCAGCTACAGAACCATTTACCTTTATAGACAGTTTGTCTGACTGTAACTTTGTAGCTATATAAAAATAAACTATTCTTGATGGTAATTGTTCTGAGGCCACGTTAGGACAAACTTAAAGATAAATGAAGATAATATAATCTGCTGTCACTGTATATAGCCTTACACATTATATGTGTTCTTATAAATCATACAGATACTTTGACTAAATGGTTGTTTATTCTGCATTTGTGGTTCCACTGCTCTTCAAGACAGCATAACAAACAGAATTTTGGCATATTAAGGAAACAGCTTTAACCATCTGTCAGCTCTTCTATTTTCTGTGCACAAGCACATGAAGTTTGTGTGTGATGTCCTGATGTGCTCTTACTGTGAAAGGTGTGCAGATGGACGGTGAGTCCACTGGCCTGGCTGTAGCCTTTGCCACACTCCCGACACACATAAGGCCGGTCACCAGTGTGTGTTCGCACGTGACGTGTCAGCTCTATGGACTGGGCGAAGACAGCCTTGCAATACTGACACACATACATCTTCCCTGAAAAGAAGATGTATGACAAAGAAAACAAAGAAGGCACATGTACAAAAAAATCAAAGAGAGAGAACAAAAGTTGAGGTCAGTTCCCTGAATGAAGGAAGGTTTCTTATGTGGTTGTGTGTGTTGTGTGTCTTACCCTCAGAGTGTTTCTTCTTGGTGTGGTATGCAAGTGCAGCAGCCACACTGAAGCTCATGTCACAGTGTTTGCAGTGGTAAGGTTTTTCTCCTGTGTGCAGCCGCATGTGATTCTTCAGAGACGAGTTGGCGCCAAACTTGGCGCCACATTCCTCACAAGCAAATGGTTTCTCTTCAAAGTGCTCTGTCCTTTTGTGGTAAATCATACCTGAAATATGAAGAATTTAATGTCTCTGTGCCAAGGGTGGAGCCAAGGGGTGGTGATGGCCTCCTTAGAGTAACGTCTGCTCACCCCTCACAACCAAAAGTGAAGCCTGCTAGAGAGCTCCACATATACTCCTAGAACTCAGGTTACATCCTAACCCCAACGCAGTTTAAGTATAACTTGGAACAATTGTTTAATTAATTAATTTGTTTAATCAGCTGAGCATCACATTGAAAGTTTCTTACGTATGACTCCTTGTGGTGCATTTCATGCCTGCATAAGTAAATGATCAAAGTATAAGTGACCAAAAACATGACCATGTGGCCTACAGTGATTTGCTGAACAGAAAAAACATGACGGAGATCTCAGTTTGTGGGAGGGGATGTTGCAATATACGGTATTCAAGGGCTACACATTTACAACAGCAGATCACATTGTTGACCTATTTTAATGTTACATTACAGTAAAGGGGTGTTGCATTATGGGCTTAATCTCTACTATCTATTGAGTTTCAGTCTGTGTGTGGAATGTGTCTTGGTCCAAACTGATCTCCAGCAAATGTAAAAGCATCTCTGGCGGTCTTGACTGCCAAACTGACTGGAGACAAACCATCTGCCACGAAGTGCTGGTGTCACAGAATGTCATGATGAGGAGCTCAAAGACAAATTTAAAAAATGCCGACAGCCTTAGAAAATGATTGTGACATCTTCATGAGGCTCATAAATAGAATGAACACTCACCTTAAAAAAATAAATAAAGCACATGGTATTTAAGTATGTTCTGCTTTGATCATCTGAAAGTACTTCATTTTATTAAAGAAAAGGCTTTAAGAATCAGAACTTTGCTCAATGGGCTAATTGGTAATGTAAATTTCCATAAAGTTCCAGGACACAGGGGCTTCATATCCATCAACGTATGACAGAAAACCAGGAGTTTTTCAGTTACTTATTCAGAGCTCGAATATATTGACCTTCACATCCCATTTTTGACAAGACTTTATGATTGTATTTAACAATAACACCGAAAAAGTTAATTCATCAATTTACAATGATGTGGACTCAGATAGGTGGCAAAAATGATGGATGGATGAACTAATTTAAAAATGTTAACTATGAGTAAGACTTCGTTTTGTACATTTGGACAATAAGCTAATGTAATAAATTAACCTTTGATTAAACGCATTGGAGATTTAGTGATCATATTACCAATGCAGTTACAACATTTTGACTGTACAGATTTTCCCACTCAAGCTTTTATGTTGGACAGCAGTGTTGTAGAACTGAATCCACTCATCAGTAGCTTTCACTGTTCATACTGGCTCACATACAACACAAGTGCAATGTCATTCAAATGTGAAATGATTCAAAATTGTATCATCTCCTAATAATTGTATTATTTCAAAGTTAAACAGTAGAGTATTCTCATCTTATAAACAATCAAAAACAAATACTATAGAAAGGCGATACTGAAAACACATCCCCCAAAGTAGAAACTCAATGCAACGAAGTGTGACGATATGATGATATGGAGCTGCATGAGTGCAAAAGGTGTTGGAGAGATGACATTTATAGATTTACCACAAATGTCTGTGGAGATACTACAATACTGGCTGACTGGATGACTGTCAGTCTATAGAGGAGGAACATTTCACCATGTTAATTATACAAAAGACGCTGCCAAAATTAAGAGTTTAAAGGAAGAAAATTGCAAAAACTAGGATCAGAACAAGTATGTTGAATGGTTTAAATCCAATAGAACACTTTGAGGTGACCAGAGAAAGGTAGAGCAACACAAGCCCTCCAGCAAAAGGCAGCTTTAAAAAATCTGAAAAAAAGAAAAGCAGAACCCCTCTCCAGAAAATTGTGCTACATTGCTATCCTCAATTTGAATTATCAAAAAAAAAGGCAGACACACAAAATATAGAAAATAAAATAAAAGATTTTTAAGATAGTCAATCTAAGCAATTAGCTTTTAATTTGACACAAGAGCAAAAACCTACTGTTCAACATAAAACTCACACAATTACTGCAGGGTGATACAATTTGGAATACTGCTGTATACTGTATGTAGTCAGACTAACGTACGCGCAGTATATTGTCTGTTGTGTGTATGTCTCTGTTTGTTCACTAGCTTGGTTTCTCAGGCTGCTGGCCTCTATAAGATATGACTTTTGGTGATACTGTTTAATCCCTAACACAACACAAGGCTGACCTTCACTTTCAGGTTTCACAACTTACTTTCCCAGCATCAGCCAGTTCTCACCTGATGGATGGGCGAAGGTGCGTCCACAGAGGTCACAGGCCACTTTCTTCTTGACACGTGCGCTGTTGCGGTGGACCTCAGCCCGGTGGCGCTGCAGAGCCCGCTGGTTGGCCAGTTTCTCTGGGCACTCTGGGCACTGCTGCTCACACTCCTGAGACATGGAGCAGCGCTTTGTGTGGGCCAGCATTCGACACTTGTAATCAAAACTCTTCTTACACCAATGACAGGTAAAGGGCTTATTGTGGGAGGACGGGGAGGAGGAGGAGGGGGGAGGGGACGAAGACTCTGTTGTAGCATTTGTGTCTTTCTTGTCCTCTTCAGTCTCCTCCTTACTGATTTCATCTTCTACCTCTTCCTTCTGTTTTTCTTCACTTCTGGTACCATTCTGCTGCTCTGAGCAGACTAGAAAAGATGGAGAAAAGGTTCAAAATACAAAGAGTGAAAAGAAAATATCTGCTCATACAATCACTAAGTGCTCCACTTTACCTTTAGGTTGGCTTTCATCTGGCTGCTGTGTGTTCTTCTCCACCTCTTCCAACAGGGAGAGCAGTGGTGAGGGGAAGTTCGATGTAGTTTTCTGCTGAACGGTACGGAGGAGACGGAGAAGAGCTCCCTCACTGATCCGCCTGTCCTTCACTCTACTCATCAGCTTCTCCAACACTGTGCTGGGATCTGCCTCCTCACAGCACTGAAACACAACCTGGCAGGAGCAGAAATGGACCAAACTCTCAAATAGCAGCAGGGGCCTTTACTGACAACTGCAAAGAAAACCAGGCTTTCATTTTTTCAAATGAAGCCACAGATAGGTCTATATTCCTACTTTGACTGGATTTACAATTAATGTTTTAGTTAGTAGCATGCCTGTGTGCTTTCACTTCTGCTCTGTTTTAATTTGCTGTTTTTTGTTCATACTAATTCGATTGTCGGGACGCAGTGCTTTTCCAGATTTGTGACAGATTCAGTTTTCATTCACTTTCATTTCATCCACACTGGACATGGAGCAATGTGCAGCTTACAGCAGGAAGGAGCACAGCAGGCAGCAGCAAGGGAATGTGTAAATATGACAAAAAAAAGGCTGAGGGACAATTAGTTCTTGTATAAACATGGCAACAACAGTTTAAGATCTAATGCTTTAACTGTAGATATAAAAACCTTCTCCAGACCGAGGCCAGCTGCTCTACCTGTCTCTCCTGCTCATCCAGGCTGCTCTGTGCTGCCTGGCTCAGCAGCTCCACGACAGATGACACGGTGGCGAGGAGCTCCACGAGCTGAGAGGAACGTTTTAGAAGAGCAGGCTCACTGGATACCTTGGCTGGCTGCTTTTTGTTTTCTTCCACTGCATTCTCTGAGGATTTGGCTTCTTCAGATGCTGTGTAGACAACGATTTTGTGGTGTTTATTGTTGATTTATGGCCTGGATTGTATTATGTGATACAGTAATACTGAACAAAGTTCTAAGTCAAACACATTTATGCCTTCAACTCATTTTTCAAGACTCCCCAAAACAGGCTTTTGATTTGATAACCAGCTGAAACTGACCTGAGGTGTCAGAGACTTCCACACAGGGTATTTTGCATGCTGGTTCCTCTGTGTCATCTCTTTCACCCTGACAGTGTTCCTTCTTCAGCTCAGCCCTAATCTCCATCTTGTCTGTCGAGTCATCCTTGCTGGTTGAGGCTAAACCTTCAGGGGGAATGCTCTGGGCTTTGTTGATCTTGGTGAGGGTTGGGGTTTGCATAGAATGTACTGGGACTGAGGGTGTCTGAGTCACCAAGCTGGTGAGGACGTTTTTGAAGCCAACAGCTACGTCAAACATCTGTAGGCTGTCTGCAGCAGTGACGATGCGGCTGACGTTGTGTTTGCCCAGGGGCAGCTTGCCGGTGTAGACCATGTCCAGGAGACAGCCAAACTCCTGTGAGGAAACCACAGTCGTGTCGATGGAGATGGTGTCAGAGCCTTCCAGGAGAGACCTGACAGACAAGATTGTTTTATCTCTTCAAATTCCCACTTGAGAAAACTAACTGATCATCCTACATCTGGCGTCTTTCCTTTTCTTTCTCACTTTTCACAGTCCTCTGATTAATATTAATGTGTTGCAAAAACACACACACACACACACACACAAAATCATGTTTGTAACACCAGATAAACTACAAGGACAACTTCTGTTAGACGTTCATGTCACAGAACTGACAACATTTTAGCACAAAATTCATTATTAAAGAGCTGAGAGAAGAGAACATTAGACTCAACTTAGACCTTAGATCCTCCACTGGTTCAAAATAAAAGGAAGTCATACTTACAGCCTCAGCAATACACCTTAGTGTCAGCACAGTTTTGTTTACAGTCGTCTATACATGAACTTACTGTCTGTGTTTATGGCGTGTTTCCAACTGTTATATCAGTTTTAAAGCATATAACAGTGTAAACACTATTAACAGTTTACTGATGCAATCCTTAAGCAAAGTGCTCAAACATTTAAATGAATACATCAAACACAGGCATTGATAACATAAAGGCAATAGGATGCACTGTGTGACTGTGATGGGTCCAATCAGCATCCAGTAAATTCACTCGTTCAGGAAGACATAAATTCTGACATCTTGCTGCCAAGCATTTGTGAACTGACTTAAAAACTTTGTTGAAATAATCTTAACTTGAACTCTGCATTAGCTTTTTCTTCAACTACGTCTCACCATCTTCATATCAAAATGAGAGCTCCACACAATCTAGTGGCTGGACCTTGAACTAAGATTCTGAAGATTATTCTGTTGCATTCCTTTGTTCAAGCTGAAGAATGATCTTTTGGCGCTGAACTGTTTTTTAATAGCTTGCGTAGATTTAGGCTTGAACGACGTGCTGGGTATGACTTCAGCAAACATCTCACTTTGATAAAACACCTCCAAACCAGTCTTTCAGATTCCATGCTCACGCTACCTGAAGAGCAGGCTCGAGGCGGCCAGCACCAGCTTATGAGCACGGTGACTGCTGTCTCCCACCAGGATGGTGCAGTCACAGAAGTGGCCCTCCTTCCTCAGGGCCCACAGCTGCTGCATCAGCTGGCTGCTGTAGTTCGGTAACTCCATCATTTTGTTTAGTGGTCTGGAGGCAGAATGTTCTGCTTCCTCTGTTCTGTAGAGAACATCATCACTTGAGAAACGAACAGCAGTATTTCTATACTTTCAGCAGTTAGCAAAAATGTTGAGTATTGAAAGTTCATTATTTGACTTTCCTGGTAGAATGGCACAGCTTAACAAAAAGGAGCACTGCATTTATGAGGATGTTTATGGTTGTGAACTGTTTTAGGACGGGACATGCTGCTGGCCTCCACTCTGCTGCTGGTTGTGGCCAGTGCATCAGTTGGACCTTTACGTTTGCCATGTACATGCTCAGTGCTTTAGAAGTACGCCCAACTGGTAAATTAATATTCATTAAAAGTTTGAGTTATGTGTTTTTAAAAGACAAGTAGTTAAATGGTATTTGGTGCATGAAAACTAAAGGATTTGGGGGGAAATGTCATATTGCATTTTTTTTTTAAAACAAAATTGTGATACAGTTTTAAAGCCTCAGTTTCCTATATGTGTATTATATTTAAAACATGTGATGGATCATTTACCGCATGAGACACAATCAGTTAAGCTAAATAAATAAAATAATAATGACAATAACAATAATAATAACAATGAAATATTCCCAATAGGAAAACAACAGGAGCGTTCTGCTACGATCTGGCACTGAGCAGTCCTTCATGGCTCAGGAGCAGCAACTCCTGCACATTCTGTAATCAAGCTGAACAAGATCTTAGAATGAAAAATCGCTCAACTTTGGCTCAGACGCGCCATAAAATGCACACTGGAAACAGCAGCCTTTCTAATTTGCACATTTGAAATGGTGAATTGTGCTGCCCTAACGAAAGAGCGTCGTGCCAAAAGCTGTAAGCTGCTGTTTCCACATATGATCAGCAGCCCGAGTTCTGCCTCACACGATAAATTAAGGGATGTTCACGGATACTTCAGTGTTTCAATGTTCACGGCCATGTTAGCTCCATCTCTAGCTTTAGCTAATGCTAACGTCATCTAGAGAGGAAAACTAGTTTATGTTCTGCCTGTGAACGCCACACGGACACAGCAGCGGTTCTAGTGGAATAAACCCCAGACGACTATCGGATATACAGCCTCCAGTCAGGGGACGTCTTTACCTTCAGTAATTCAAACGATCCGTCTCTTTATTTAAACTTCTTTGCTGAACACTGATGTGCGCAATAAAGCTTAGTCGTTTTGAAGATGGCGACAGACGGTCCGAAACACAAATGGGAACGTTTCCGGTTGACCAAACCCTGCTATCACTCCGAGGAGTTTGCATTTCAAACTGCCATGTTAAAAACCCGACTCGGCAAACAATTACAGAAATCAGCTGACTGACTGATAAGCTGCTCCGTTGAGCTTTATTTCTTTGTTCAACAGTGACGGCAAACAGCCGAGTTTAGCCATCGGCTAGCCTCGGTGGCTAGCTGCCGGCAGCACACAGACAGGAAGTGAACAGTTCACAGCCGCTGCTCAGGAAAAGATTTAAAATACTGACGCCAAATTTAACATCTTACAGCCACAAACTGTCAAGGCTGTTGTGCATGGCGTCCACTGCAGTAGTCAAATGTTCAACTCTGTATTCCTGTGCCATCTTACCTAATATTTGTTACCAGTAAAATATAAATGTGGCTATCGCTCTTGGAATATCTGCCAAAACCTTTATTTATTAAACTCATATTCTTTCAACTTTTTATTCTACAAGAGACATACAGGTACAACATATTCTCTGACTGCATGCAGTGCAGGAAATAGTTTGATCAAAGTTTTCTCAATGAGTGAAAATGAAACCCACTGGAGTAGTAGACATTAGCTGTTGTATTCTGGTCATTAGAGTTCAGTGCACAGACTGTATAAGAAGCTTGAAAATGCAAATCAATAAAATTGTGAATAATCCGGTCAGTTGTGTTGCACAGGAAGAAGTACCATTTGATTTCCTTTTTTTTTTTTGGTGGTGGTACAGGCCTCTAAACTATAAACTACCAGAAAAATTAAATAATTATAGTTATTAATTTTTGTAATTTAGGTGTCTTCTCAAAAGACAGACACTTAGGTTTGACAGATACATTCATGCTTTCTGTAGTAGTCAAAGGTGAATTCAGTTCAAAAGTTTCCAGTTCCAGAAGTATTTTTTAAAGTAACCATGACGCATTCAATGCACTAAGTATCAGCAACATGAGGGGCAACCAAAAAAAAAGAAATGTTTCAAAAGCTGACAAATTGTTCATTCCTCAGTTCATTTCATACATTTTAAAAAGTAAGGAAAAATAAAAGTTTATTTTACAGTTTGCAACTGTATTAGGGGAAAACAGTATGCTGCTCTGAGTATCTGGCTGTGTTATTACAGTAAATTATTACAGTGTAGGTAATGACGTGGCTCTTTAAAATGTAATATGTTTTTAAACAATGTATTTCCCTTTTTTTTTTTTTAGAAGATGACAATTATGTTTTTGGTTTGGTTGGATTTTGTCAAACTCTTTTATTCATAAATAATTTAGGAAGTAATTTACAGTGCAGCTTATTACATGGTAATGAGCTTCAACAATGAATGAAGTTGGATCAGTGTGCTGCTGCTGCTGGCTTCTCCCTTCTAGAAAGAGTTGAAGTATCGACACAGAGGAAAAGTCCTGTTCGAACGGAGCTGAAACAGTTTCATAACAGCATGAGGGAGTTTCAACATTGCAGTATACACATAAAAAGAAAAAAAAGCTTGAACATGTTATCATTCTAAAATTCTAATTACAATCTGACTTAAAATATTTAACACAGTCAACCAGTAATTGCACGAAATGGCAGGAAAGAATGGGGCCCACTCGGTCACTATAGCTCCTGATAGGACAAACAGAATCTTACGTACGTACACAGGAGGACACCAATAACTGCATGTAAAGCAGAACTACGTAGACAGACGATGAGAACTTAAAAAAAAAAAAAGGACTCACGGCAACCAAAAGAAAACACAAAGTGGTCACTGCTCAGCAGGTGAGGTTGAGACAGATACACTTCCTTCCACAATGTAAAACAGTTTGCGACATAAGGATCATTGACTTTAACGAGTTTAGCTTTTAGAAGTCCTGATTTCAGAGGACTATGTGAGCTCTCAAAAGGAGCACACAGGGCTAATCTAGGTGGCCAGTACGCAGCAACATCTCACAACCTGAGGAACAGTGAATGACATGGACACAGAAACTTGCAATACACTCATCAGTCTTAATGTTGTTTACTGCTTTTGTGTACAGTCAAAATATCTGGGCAAATTTTTATGTTTTTGCATCATTTTTTAAAAATGTAATGCCTATAAAGCTATTGGAACTGAACAGCAGAAAACAGGCTACTGGTGCAGTAAATACTTCTTGACTTCACTTATAGAATTTGTTCCACTAAGTGTTGCATGAGATGTTGATGTTCATGTGACTGAAACAGCCCTGTGGTAGACTGGCGACCTGCCTTCACCCTGAGTCAGCTGGGATAGACTCCAGCCCCCCGCGACCCCACACAGGGTGAATGGTGTCTAGACAATGGACGAATGAAGAACGCTCAGGTCTTTGAGTTACACTAAAAAAAAGTAATAATTGTTCACACATGAGGACATTGTGCTTTGAAAATAACTTTATTATTCATAAGAAATAACAGTGTAAAGGAAAAGACATATCACTGCTTGTATTCTGTTTCTCACTTCCATGTCAAGAGGTTTGCACTGTTGAAACCTGCAGGACTCTGCCTCTATACATACCTTGTAGCTATGCATTTTTAAAAGCCACATGGAGTATATGGATATAGATTTGCTGTAGAGGTAATTAATGTTATAACATTTAAGAGCAGTTATATTGGTAATATAGTTACTCGTGCATTTTTTGACAAACCTGAAAACGTTGCAGTGAGAACACAAACTTCCACATAATAGAAAGAAAGACCATTGTCTTAAATTTTTCGTCTGTCATAATTAAAAACAATTGACTAAATTTTTTTGACTAACAGTAGAACTTAACTGAGGCAATCCTCAGCATACAACAATTATTTTTAGCTACTTCAACCTGCTTCATTGCGGTTAAAGCACTACCACAGAGTCCTTCAGAATGATTAGGAATTTTAAATATCAAAGGCCAGCTAACTTTATGTAGAGAAAAACAGCGGCTTTGCAACATAGTCACAGTTTTATCAAAGAAAACCTACTCAAAACGTAAAAAAACCCACAAATTAAAGCACTTATTTATATATGGACACTTGACAAATTCAAGCTTTTTTTTAAAAAAAAAATCTATCTGTCATCCTTCCATTTCAAGCATAGCCACAGCACAGCTTTCCTTAGTGCCCAAGAAGCCCAGTGCCTGGAAAACGACAGACATTAAGTGATTAAATTACATCCAAATGACACTTTCCAACACAGAGAAATCTACCTGAAAAGAGCAGAATCCCTCAATACACAGTGTTTAAGTAATACTTTGGTCAAAGTGTAGTGGCCAAGGAGGAAAAAAAACATCCTTTTCACAACAAATTAAGAAAAAGCATGCTCACCTTTGAATCCTTCTTCGGGCATTCTCACTGTGAGGAAGCAGATGACTCCATATGAGAAAGTCGTTCAATCATTGCATAGCTATATGTAACAGCTGTAGAGATGAGGACAATGCCACTTACCCTGATAGACATCATCCATTGCAGCATAATCTGCTATTGGCTCATCAGCCTGTAACAAAGTAAAGGAAGAAATGAAACCGTCTGTAATTATACTCCAGATGTTGTGATGGAAGTCAAGATTACAGTTGCAGTAATAAAGCTTTCTGTGTAAGGATCCAGTCACCAGGAAGTTAAAGTCCTGTGCACCTTTAGACAGATGATGCTCTCTGGGATGACGCCCAGACTGCCCAGTGTGGCCAAGTCATCTGTCAGGCTTTTTCCATCTATCGAGAGGTTCTGGTCAAATGGAGCCACGGAGAAGGCATGCATAATCTACAGAGTCACAAACACCGCAGAGTTAGTGTGATGAAAACAGACTCTTTATTCCCCCTGGCATTATGTCCAGTAATGTAAATCTCTTACTTGTATTTTCAGCTCTTTTAGTGTCTGATTCGCTGAAACAATGAGTGCTTTCTCTCCACGGAGTTTCCTGTGCCGGGTGCTTCTCCTGATCCCTCCTAGCTTAGTCACATTGGTCACAGGAACAGCAGCGGTTGATGGTGTGCTGCTGTCACTCAACTTTAGTCGCTTTGCACCATCCTGTGACTGAAAGAAGATGTGAAGTGATTTCATAGATGGGGGCTGTATTGCAAGGTGTGTAATTATCACGACTACATAGTCCAAGGCATGCTTTAGGAGAAAAAACCTGAAAATGATCAAATATAACAGTGATCTTGACAACATAGAACTTCCCACTTTGTTTGGACTCCTTCAATGGAAACTATGTACAAAACAAAGCATCTCCAAAGTCCTGCCTTTGTTTTTCTAGCACATGTACAGTCAGCACGCTTGCAGTGTGGACAGTCCACGCTGTCGCACATTTTGGCCAGCATGTGTACATTTCTCCAGACGTCCACAGACGTGGAAAGTATGAATTGATTTTATGAGAAACAGATTATAAAAAATGTAGCACAACCAGTCATGTAAGATTTTAGATCAATCACAGGTAGTCCCATGGTGGGCTGTCCCTACACCCTGTACAGTGCTCAGTGTCCTACGTTTGACCATGTTTACGAAGGCAGTGCTCTGCTGACTTCACTGCTGTTGGTGTGGGCAATTCTGGTTCTCCTTTTACAACTGCTACTAGCAATCAGTTGATGCCACACATTGTCACATGTGCCGTTACAGTGTGCTTACCTGACTGAAGTCTGGGTCTTTCTCTCCATCCATTTTTGGATTTTCTTCCTTTTCCTCCTCTGCCTCAGAGCTGCTGGCGTTCAGCTCTGGAGCTGCCTCCTTTATCATCTTAGCAGGGGACAATGTAAAAACACGTACTTAACCACCTTTCAACTACATCGACTGTGGAAAATACATAGTTCTCTTTTTGAACACTGATGAAATACAGTTGTTAATGTTTGGTTGACCTCATGTTTTTGTCATACCCTTTTGTCTTCTATGACTTTGCGGATATAGATGGTTGCTTGGGTGTACTCTCTGAGGTCCCTCTGCTGCTGGAAAAGGAAGCTCTCTCTACACTCCCAACACAGATCTGCATATATTAAAACATAAACCAATATCAAATTAATCAAGGACAGTAAGAAGCTAAAAAGGGTCAACACAACACTCCCAAAGTTCAAACTGTTACGAGTGTTACAATATGGCTAAAGACATGTCTAAACTTATCAAACAATCCTTGTTCATAATCCACGAGCCATTTCCCCTAACTTTGCAGTCTTACCAGGCTGAGTGGTGTACTGGGTGGTGGAACCATTTGGTGTGGTCTGTCTGAAGCAGTGGATGGAGATTGGCTGGTCTACAATGAAGAGTCTGCTGATCACATCCCATTCGTTGGGCCAGAGCAGAGCTATACTGTGCAAGACAAACAGCACAACATGAGACCGCAGCAGTGTCCACAAGAACTCAGGTGGCAGTTCTTTATATATTCATTTAATCAACACAACTGGCCCTGTTGTATGAAAAGCTGCATGTCTTTTTTTTTTAAATTCAGATTTGACTTGACTGTCGCAAAATCCTCACAGTTCTGAGTTTGGGTTCTGACAGGTCTACAGATTAATGCAAGATTAGCTAAAGAAATTAAGTAAGTGATCACAATGCCAATAATGTGTATGTTTATTAGGGGTCTACTGATGATAGGTCTGGCTAGTCATCAAATTTGATATTCAGTATTTGTCCACCTGTCTGTATCCTTATTGTTTTTTAACAATTCCTCATTTGTGAAAATTACTATAAAAACGTACAACTTTGGCTTTGATGCAGCTGCCTCTGTCTGTACTCAGCACTCTGCGGTGGAAGTCGTGTCAGAAGTATGCAGCTTCTGATAATGTTTGGGTTTGCTTGGGCAAATGACCTATGTTACAGATTTTTGAAGTAAAAGGACTAAGTACAACCCCCTGCAGTATTCTTTCTTGTGTGTTAATGCACTGTTGGCCTCCATTTCATGAACTTAAAAACTGAAAAGACATGGTGATTGTGAAAAATGTGGGAGTCTGTTTTGTTTTTGCAGGTGGGTTCAAGTGTAGTACACTTAGATGTAATATTCCAAAAATAAGCACTTGAATATTTTATGAGAAAGGGAATACATCCAACACCTTACTAAGACCCCAAGAATACACATGATGCAGTTTTGCCAAGTTTCACTGTAAATAATCAGAACTCACTGTTGTGCATCTCCATTGATCAGGGAGTCGTAGGTGAACATGAAGCCTCCATGAGGACAGAGCAGCAGAGTGTTGCCCACATTAGACACTGGAGAGGATTTTGTGGGCCGCCTGGAAAAGACAAATTGGGGGACCAAAATACTGATTACCATCAGGAACTTGACAACTCAGAAAAGTAAATGTGGTCCTTTATACAAACTAAACAACTTTAACTAGTTGTAGTCATTACCACAAACACATATATTGATACCAAACATGTCTTCTGATTGATTCCTTTTATAGAAGGTCGACCTGTTCTTGAGTGTCAACAATGAAACATTGCCTTTAAAATGTGACAGCAAACATTCTGTTCACTTTACTGATGAAACAGCCATACCTGATGAATTTTCTCCACTCATCCACAAAAAACAGAGGGACTATGTAGAGTACATCTGTGCCCTGGGGAGACACACCAGAAAGGATTTACTGTATTCACAATCTATCATTATATTTGGAGAGTTTCAATTAATGTTGACTTTCAACAGCATTATAGATTGAAGAGTTGACATGAAGCGTACAAGACTGACGAGGCTTTTTGTTTACCTGAGGCCACTTTGTGAGTGTTGGCCGGTTCTTTTCATGGAAGAGGTTGAGCAGCTGGTTCTTCTGGTCAAGAGCCATCATCTTACTGACAGCCTCATTGTCCTTCTCCTCCTGCTCTAATGTCTACACAAACAAGAAAAATTGTAATTCCACAGCTAACCAAACAGCACATCTCCCAACTATCATGTCTCATACACAGTTTGTGACTGTCGCATAGCTGCAGATGGCATCACTTTGGGGCTATTTCTAGCGTGACATTAAGGGGTGATGGTGTATCAGCAGTTGCCATTAAGCCTCTGACCCGACTTTTAATAGGAGCAGCATTGATCGGGGCAGGAAACTTTACAACAGGAAGAATCATTAAAGTTTAAACTTTCCATCGGTTGTTAAACTACTTATCTGCTACAT